TAGACCCTTAGATAGATTCAATCTGTCTCTTCTTCTAAACAAAAACATGGAAACACATAACTAGTCCTAATTCCATCAGGTTGAACATCTGTAGGATTCTTTTCCTTACGGTTTTAGCTAATGAAAGGCCATAATAATAGTGAGATATAAAAATAGCTACAAAAATAACTTACCAAAATCTATTTGGGACAACTTCGGGAAAGAAAATCTACATCAGCATGTCATATGAGCTCACCATCATTTGTTCTAACTGCAAAGTAAAGCTGTTTTGTTCTTTACTACACTTCTAAGCAGTTTTATACATAATTCATTGTTGTTGGTTTTTTTTTCTGACAGAATCTTCAATTCCCTAAATGTTTCTCAATTCCCTCAATGTCCTTTTTCTCAATCTCTTTCAAGTACAATGTTTTCTCTCTATATTTTTAACTGCTAATATATCTTCTTTTGTATTTTTTTTTGCAACCGAGTATTTTTTAAAATGTAAGAATAAAACTGGCAATGATTGTAAAGCTGACATAGTCATAAAGTAGAGCTGTATAACAAAACCCATAAAAATTGCTCCAACTTCAAATTCATTATATTTATGACACTTAGTATTCTCCAGTTCTAAGTTTAAATTTTGTTTGTAGTTTTCCTGCTGTAGAGAGCTACTGCAACATTCTTTAAAATTCTTTGGAACCTTTTTTTTTTTTAAAGTAGTCTTTTAAAATACTACTTTTGTTCCAATCAAGAGCAATAGTTCTAGGGTACAGAACATCTGAAGGAAACACATTTGTGAAAAACAAGAGGGTGGAACTGAACTTGGAAAGGACAGCAGAGCAGGAAAGATCATGCTCTTTAATACGTAAAAATATTTCATATCTCTTGGTTCATGTGTTTTGATGTAAACAACCATTTTACCTTGCCTTGGGAACACAGAAGTATTATATGAGTTAAACAATCTGCATTTTAGAGAACAGCCTCAGAATAATAATTAAATGCAAACCCACCTATCACTAATTATAATGTCAACTGCTTTTTATATTTTAAAAATAATGTGCCAGTTCTGAAAAGCTGGGAACCGGTGGACAGTCATAGCTAAAAGGCTTACATGTGACATACAACTTTTGTTACCCTGCCTCCTTCTTTACTTTCTTGTGGACCTTATTTGTTTTTGGCAGTAAATATGAAAGGAAACAACAACACATTATGCAAGATCAGTTATGCTGGACTATTCTGTAATTTAACTTTGAGAAACAATATCTCAGTGAATGATCACAACAGAAAACAAACTTACATGGACAAACATTATCTGCTTAAACAGCCATGGCTGTGTACTGGAAATATGGCTTTGGTTTAAGGAGTTCATAACCTGTAGCCAAGCGGTAGAGATGGAAATTTTCATGGTTTAGAAATAATTTTATGCCTGCCCATCAATTTTTCTGTTATCTAGGCATGAATAATGAAACAGATTTTTGGAGAAATGGCTGTAAAGTGATCACTTCAAATTAATTTAGACCTCAGCAATCATTTGGTTCTTTCTGTATTTAAAGCCAGGGAAGATTAATTAGGTTCTTAAAAAGCCATTTAATGTTAATGATGCTCCAAGCATTAAGAAACTTCTAAGTCCATCACATTCAAGCTTTCTTTTCAGTATTCATCAGTTTGAAAAAATAAACCTGTCTGTTGCTGTCATAGATCACTAATTTGCTTTAATTAATATCAGTTTAATGAATATTACATTGAAAATAACATTGCAATGGTTGCAGGTCATGAAGTCCACTTTTAGTAATATATCTCCTTTTAACACTCAACAGTTACCACCACCCAAAGCATTAGATCAGAGGAAACACAGTTAAAACCAAACACTTCAGAAATCAGATACTCAAATCCAAATTTGTCCATAAAATCTCTGTAGATCCAGCACGGGTTTGTGGCAGCATATCCCTCCTTCATTTCCTGTGTATGCATGTATGATATCTACTCATGTGGCCTATGCAGGTAGAAATAAATAAACCCGAATAATGGATTTGTAATTTTTTTAAATGTAACAAAGTCTTTTTTTCTCCTTGTCCAGTGACTGATTTTCAGTTCTGCAGAGAAGACAAGTATCACAGGACAAATCAATATTCTTTTTAAAAGAAAGATCCTTGTCCATGTTGCTGTACTTCCTTAGGTGTTGGGGTTGGTTGGTTGTTTTTTAAAGGAAATTTTTGTTTCATTTTCTCTTTTTTGGAAATGCCCCTAATCAGTTTTATGCCATTCACTTGAGTTTCTGATTAACAGGCATATCTGGAAATTTCTGGCACTTCTGGATATACAGTAACATATTTCTACCTCAGTGGTACCAAAGAGATTACCTGTGAAATCCTCACTCTTGCCAGTAGTAGCATTCAGCACTGGGTACTAATGATGCAAACAGAAAGAGCCAACTGACTTATCATACAGTTACTATACAGAGCTGGAATGAAGTATATAATAAATACTCAAATGCTAATTTTTATAAATTCACAGTCATTCATTCATTGGTTACATTAAATGGAGAAATACTTAGGTGTTTTTTGTTTGGGGTGTTTTTACCAGTATTTGCCCTTTCTCTCTCTCTCTTTCTCTCATTTCTTTTTTTCTTTTTAAGTCTCTGGAAGAAAATATATTGCTCTAATAAGTAGTCACTTAATAATTTACCACATCCTTCAAAATCTGATTTAGTGAGTTTATGCTTTCTGCAAAAAGTTAATCAATTACACTTAATTAGCTATCAGTCTACATTTAAAGTTAACTGCCATAAACACCATTTATATATATAACCAAAGACTTGACAAATAAATATCAGTGTAAAAAAACTTAATGAAGAAATTTTATCCCCATTAATACTTGAATATTTACAGGATAGCTAAACTGGTGTTTAATACAGCTATTCAAAACATATAGTGTAATCTAACTTCTCAGACTTTTAGTACAAAACAGTTATTTTGAATAAATACACATCTCTAAGTAAACTTTAAAACAATCATAATCTTTCAGCTCATAATCTTTGAAAATACCTATTATTAGATGAAAGAACTTTTCACTTTAAAATAATATGTAGTTCAGTGCTTACTCCTAATTTATTAATATAAAGGTTTAGTTAAATTCAATAAAATTATTTGGTACAAAGAGGTAAAGGAAATAATTCCATAGTCAGATCAGGTTAACTTCTTTTGGTTTAACTTAACCTGCTCAGAGGCTCAGATCTCTGTTGAAAAAGACATGTCAACCCAGATGATATGCTAATGACTGGACGTGTGCTTAGAAAAACATAGAGAAGCAGCTCTTGAATGCTGCCATTACTGACAGCTCTCCCCCTAAGGAGGCACTTGTACTCCTCTGCAAATACCCTGCAAGGACTTACTAGTAAATGTAAACAGGCTAAGGATGACAAGAAGCAAAGAGATGCTGTGGCACCTTGTCCATGTACAGTCTCTGACTCACTGCATCCATGTGCTTGATGATCCTTTTGCAGACTCATTTGTTTCCTAGTAATTTTGTGTTGATGGTACATGCACTAGGACTCTGCTTTTTTAGAGTCCATGAAAAGGTCATTTAAGTGCATCCACATGTCATTGCCTCAGAGAACACATAGCTTCATAATGGAAGAGGTTTTATCCTATTTTCTCTTGTGTTTGAGCTAATTTTCTGGTACCACCGCTGTTAAGCACGACTTAAACATGAGTCAAGTGCCTGACACACCATATATTCTTGCTGCTTTTCCCAAGAGCCTGTTCTACCCTTCATCAAGAAAACACCTTTTTTGAGTGTCAGCTGCTCACAGTATCTTTCCTGCACTACTATAGATAAGGGACACCATAATGAAATGTAACAGTCTGTGACAGCTGCCATGAAAGCCAAAATGAGCAGCAGAGACGGAAAACTTTTTTTCTCCCCAGTTTGCCTTTGCAAGAGAAGGGAAGTGATTATACCAAGGCATAGAAGGCTCTCTCTGCTCAGAGACCACTGCTGAGAGATGTTCTCAGAGGCTGACTGGACTCCCTCCTGAGCATTCAACTCCACTCAGCAGAAGGTGATGGCATCAAAGTAATACAATTTTGCCACCTTGCCCCTTCCTCTCTTTAGGCATCATCATTTTCCACACTCAGGGAAGCAGAAAGACAGCAATTATCTTTTCCTTATTTTTTTTTTCCTCACAGCATTTGTGTTTGCTCAAAGCAAAAAGACAGAAAATATTAATTCTCTTCTGGAAAACTTGTAGAAGTGAAGGTAGCCTGTCTAGGTAAATATATTAGCTTCAAAAATGGAATCAAATGTCTTTCCTGATTTCCAGATGCAATCAGTTACAATATCTAAATCATGTTAGGACTTGCTACCCTTCTTTTCTTAAGTTTTCAGAAAGTCACTATTGAATAGGTGGACTCTATGTAGACACATGCCCAAGGGTGAGAACAGGACAGATATACATGTATCTGCCATAAAAGAACATAGAAAAGCTAATTAATGCCTGCATTGTCTTTAAAACATTATCATTTAAAACATCACCTTAAATGAACACCAGTCAATCAATCCCCTTGCACTTCTGAAGCCATGTGTATATACGCAGCAATCTGCTGCAGAACAGTCTAGAATGGTATTTACCCCTTTTGTATCATTAATAGTTTATATTCTTGTCTTGTACTAATTAGTCAAATATAAGTTTGGTTGCCTTTTCTTTAATGCCTACATTTTTTGTAGGTTAAAATCCGCTTTACTTACCACCAAAGATTTATTGAGAAGGCACATGTTTGCAGAGTGGTTTCACAGGAGACAGTATCCTCCATGGTTTTCATTAGAATATGAAGATTTATCATGCTCTGTCCCACCATAATAAGGAAATATATCCCTTAAGGGTTTATAAGTTTATGAAACTTTTTAAGTTTATAAGTCACATTCTTGCTTAAAATGATTGTAAAGTATCACTCTGGCATTCAGACATTTTAAAAAAATCAACAAACGTTATCAAACACGTCTGATGTGACAAGGCAAAATACCTTGGTTTGCTCTCTTGTGTGCTGAGACCACTTTCCATGGGTGACCAAATATCAGATGTATCTTGATGTGAAGGTCTTGTACTTTGGAGGGGTGGCTCTCTGTGCCAGGCTCTGCAATCTAAGTCTTTGTGGGTATCTGTACAGAAGGAAAAAGCTGCTAGAAATCTTTCAGCCCATTTTACTTCTCAAAAGAGGAAGTACACATTAAATTAATTAACTTAATTCGTTAAATTTACAGTAATAGGGAATTAATGAAGTCAATTACAAACATTATAATGATTAAATCACTTATGACGAGAACAGCAGAAATAGAGTTCCAAGATGATCATTTTGCTCTATAAATCACCCTTTTAGCTGTAGTGAGAGGAAGGGGTTCATGACCTGATCTTGATTGTGGGGCATTTTCTTCCACAATGATGAAAAAAATTTGGTGCCCATGTCTTTTCTCCTTTTTTATTTCTTCTCTCTTTTAAAGTTTTGTTATGTATTAGGAATTATGCTTTGATTTATTTCCTCTCACACTGTTTACTAACACTAGGTTAGCTGCCAAAAATTTGTCATATATTTTGCTCAAAGTGATTGCAACACTGTTGTGAATCAAGAAGACAGAGATAATACTTTGGAAAACAAGAAGATCTTTTGGTTTTCCTACTGCATAAGTTAATCTCAACTTTTAGGTTATATGTAAGCTTATGTAAGTATGGAAGCATATGTTTAGATTGTAAGTATATACATATGTAATATATACTTATAATATGTGAATTACTACCTCATTTGCTAATTAATGTATATGAAAAATGTGACAATGAGCTGAATTTCAGCCAAGCCTCAGAGGTGAATACCTGCACAGTATGTTCCAAAGTTATTCATAAGGTAAAAATTCTGTTGACTTTCAGCAGGCTACTTGTCAAAATGAGATCTTAGTTCCCAAGACACACAAATGATTTTCAGAATTATAGCTATTGCAAATTACAGTTCACTTCATTAAAGTTTTCTTTAATTTTTTATACTCTTTATGTAAAGTGTAATTGAATGTTAAGGAGCATGCCATACGTCTCTAATGCTGAATTTAAGAAAAAAATAAGATATGTCCTGTAAATTTTCTTCTGTCTCTTGCAAGAAAGACCTCATAAAATTGAAATTATTGTATTTTATAACAAACCCTGATTATCTTTAAAAAACCTTGAGTTTTAGACACATTAAAAATGTTTGCAATCCAACTGTAGTATTTATCTGAATAGGATTTTAGTACTGTGACTTTGCTTGCAGAATTTTAAATATACTAGATCCTCATTCTACTTAGCAGCCTTTTAATGGAGCTTAGTATAAATGGCAATGGTGAAATGACAAATTTGTTGCTACCACATCAGGTGATACATCTAGAAAGAAGCACTCGTGGTGAGCTAATGATGTGAAAACATTTCTCTGTTACTACACACAAGTGCTTCAAGTCCAAATGAAGTCATATTGTTAAAGCAGCAGTATCTGGCATTCTCAAATAGACATCTCTCAGGAACTGTCAGAAGTAACTGCAGCCTTCTACCTTCCCAATGTAACTTTGTCATCATAAAGAAGCTGTACTGACTCCAACAGTCAAGGACAGAGCCTCAGCTGCTCACAGCTGAGCTGAGAGCCATTCAACAGAGTAAGCCATCGAAATGTAATGTCCAAGTTAAACTCCAGGTAGAGGGTAAACGTGGCTTTCTCAGTAACGGAGACGTAATGCTTTAGGATTCCTTCCTCTATGCAGAAAACTACAGTGTAAGAGTGACCTCTACAGGATTTCCTCAGTGCTCCAAGACTGCAGTCCCAGGGACTGTCTTTAGAACATTTTCAAATGTATTTATTTGAAAACAGAAGACAAACTGCAACATACAAACCAACACTGCCTCCAAGATACTTATGTGAAAGACACATCCATGTGTGGATGAACATTACCCAGCAAAACTCTTCATCCATATTCTTGTGGAAGTGGCTCTCAGTGATTCCATTACTTACCAGTACCAATTACCTGTATCAATTGTGCAAATGCCCCAGTGATGAAAAAGCATTTAGGATTCTACAGAAAAATTGCTATTTGGCATTGTGTTTCAGAAACTTAAAGTGAAATATAGAATGGCTGGAATGCTGGAGAGAGATTTAAATCTGTAACTCACCAAATGGTAATGCAAAGTAGACATCTAGTAAGATCTCGTGTGAAGTTGGTGTTTTTGTGCCTTGAATCTCACTTCCATTTTTTATTACTTCAGAATGCAATGTCCACCAGGAACCTGGGCCTTCCTAGGAAAAAGAAGTTATGAAAATTACCTGGGCAGGATTTATTGGATTATGCACTTTTTACTGGCTGAGGTTTCCCCTGAGTCAATAGGAGTTTCTTTGTAACAACAATATGTTTAGATATCCATTCTAGACTCTTCCAACTTTCATTTGTGTAAGTATTACTTAGGACTTCATCAAGTTTTCTCACAGTCATTGAATTCAAAATAATATAACATTTGCTCTACAATAGAGATGAATACATATTAAGGTTGTCAGATAATTAAGACACAAGAAATATGAATATTGAAAATTACACTTATCAACTCAGATTTTCCAGTTTCCCTTTGAACTGGTGCCAAACAAGTACATTGTAGAAAGACTGAAACAATCCATATAAACTAATAACAAAGCCAAAAAAACTTGTTTCTGAAGTAATGCTCCCTTATAATTTATTTCTGAGCTATAAAGCCCAGAACAGAACTGTGGGGTTAAGACAAGCAGCATAACTAGGAAACATCCGCAGTGGATTAATTATAAATGAAGGTTTAGAGGATCTAAAGAAATTAAGAAAAAGTCCCTTATCTTTCATCTGTGTTTGTTTAAAGTTTCAATATTTACTAGTAAGCCACAACCTCTGTGTCAGCAAGTTGTAACTCAACAACAGCCAGGGCAGCAGAGCAGAACCACTTGCCTTGGGGCTGGAAATGGCACTTGGCAGCTGTGATACAGAGCAACTTCTAATTTAAGCAGGAACTACTTTCTTCCTCTGCTTCCATTTTCTGGGTAGAATCACTGAAATGTCAGTTCAATGTATATATGAATATTTATTACTTCCTGTAAAGAAATTGCTATAGGGTCTGATGAGAGATACTGTAGGAAGTTGTTTTCTGATTTTCTCTCCTTTCCCTCATCTTCAATCGCCTTTTTTATGTTTTAGAAAAATTAAAGAAGGCAAAAAATTTTTCAAAGATTAAATTAATCTTCTGTCATTCAGAGCTACTTTAAAAACAGACTCCATGGACTATGTGTAGCAGAGTATATTCATGGATGGGAGAATTGTGGAATATTAGAATGAGGTAACTCTTATGTTTTCTGAATTCAGAAAATTTTGCAGCACAGGCAGTTTGCTTCTGTATTTCCACGATCCCAGAAACCTTTTCTCCTTATTTGATATCCTACTGAGCGAAAGTATGCTCACTCTGGTGGCCAACTTACTATGCTGGATACACAACTCTTGGTATTGACCCAATTTCTCCACTCATCCTTCTCTGTGCACTCTATAATTTCTTCTGTAGTTCCACAAGGCAAATTTCAGTTTTCCTCTCTGAGAAAGTGGCCAATTCCTTTGAGAGAGAGAACAACAGTATTTTGCCCACTTTAGTAGAGATTTACCCAAAGTCACACAATGAAGAGCCAGGCCTGGAAAGTTAATCTAAAACTCTTTCACTTTAATCATATAAGCCAAACCACCCCTGCCTCCCTAACAGTTCATGAGAGCAGACGAACTAACTCACTGCCTGTGGAATACCTGGCTCAGTATCTGAGCCATTTCTCCAGGATATATGGATAATGCATTTCAGTTTTCACTTTAAGAGTCACATGTACATTATGCCTCACCATCGCAGATTGGAGCAAAGGAGATAGAAGTATACACTGATAATAAACATCCTTACAGTATTTGGGGAGATTAAGAATGAGAAATTTGTTGGATTTTACTCAGTGTTCTATAATTCCACAGAAAGTCAACTTACATCTGTTGCATATTCCACAGTTGCAAGGGGAATCCATAAAACTCCCAAAATGCTATCCCAGAGCAAGCCTTTCTTCCACAGCTCTACAAGGAAGCCCTTTCCATCAGCACAGATTTCACTAAAAAGAATGAATACAGAAACCATTAAACTGAATCTGAAAACGCAGTTTCAACTACTCAGTAATCTATAATAATAAGTTAGTGACTTACAGGAGATACAGAGGTGGGTTTTTTCCTATGTAGTCATAAAATAGTAGGCAATGGTGTCTCTGCTGTGACTGATTGCACATAATCTTCATTTGACTGAATTTATTTTAATAAAAAGTTATAAATTTATTTTAATCTTTTAATAAAGATTATTTTAATAAAAATTATCTTCAAGTTACTGTGTGGTGAACCACAGAGAATTACTGTGTACTTACAGTTATCAGGAAAAGAACAAATGAAATCTGAGAAGGGCAAGGGTTGCCACCTCTGAGACAACTTTTTAACTCATCACATGGCTCTCAAAAATCATTATGTTGGCGGCATCAATGTCTACTTCTCTGCTGTATTCATGCAGTTGAATAGATTCATTGAATTTTTGTTTTGCTCAGCTTCTCTCTCTATAAATATGTTATGGAAGACAGATTGTAAATTTTTAGACCCCAACTTTAAAACTGTTGCACCGGTAACAATGAAAGTGCAGACTGAAAGGTTGAAAAATATGCAATTTTTAAAAGGCAAGCTGGTAATATCTGTGTGTAAAAGATCATAGCTTTTACTGTGAGAGATGGAGTGACAGCCCTTAAGAAAATGAACTACAGTATGACTCACCAAAGTCTACTTAAATGTATTTGTAAATGCTTTCTTTTAATCCCTTTTAAAAGTCTGCTGTGTTGTATAGATGAGCAGGCAGTAGATGGAGCTACAGCAACCTTGTAACATGCTAGAAAAGTGCTTTAGTATTCTTTGGCAAGATTTACATTGCCAACTGAGAAAATAATCCTAATAAATTGCTCATTTTCAATGATATCATGCAACACTCATTTACATATAATATGATAAAAAGAAAATCTTTTAAACAACAGCAAAGCGAATGTATTAACTAATATTTTGACACATTCTTCAGGTAACCAGAAAGTACGAAAAAAGTCATTCAAAACAACTCATGTGTCTGACAAAATATTAAAATACTTGCATTAGAAAATACCCAAAATTGTAAAAATGACATTTTTTCATAAGAAGAACTACAGCAAATTAAATGTTGAATTCTGCAAAAATATTTCAACCAACTCTAGACCTCAGGAATTAAATTTATGTTCCCACAACAGGAATGTGGTGACAGAGAAAGATTTGTGCAGGGAAAAAGAAGGGACCAAAAATGGTGGAGATTAATGTGCTAAATCAGGATCTAATTAGATTATATCTATTGGGTTTAACTGCTTTGGAATTGACAGTTGGAAGCAGATTTCCTCAGAATGTCAGGCAGTGTATAAATGCTTGGACCTCCTGACCAGTGAGGTGTGTAGAAGGCTCTAGAGAAAAGAGGACAATAACAACAGAGTAACAAGATGGAGAGCTGAGTGAAGCAGACAAAGATCTGCAGACAGAAGTGAGAAAGAGCAGGGGTCAGTAGTAAAGCGACTACCTAAATTGGCAGCTGAGGAGATAAATTAATGCATAAAATATGAGTCACACCGAAAGGAAATTGAGTGAACAAAAATCAAGTTGCTTGAGGATCAATTTGAGTTCTCTTTATTCTCATTCCTGTACTCCTACAACATTATATGAAATCAAATTCGGAGACAAATTCTTCCCCTTGTTGGTCCTGGCCTTGATCTGCAATGTACCTTGCAAAATTAACTTTAGTTCTGTTCCCCAGGGCTAGTCTGCACCTTTTCTCTGAGCTGGATACTTTTTCCTTGCTTCTGTGGTCTGTACATGGCCTTGCATGTACTAAACTGTTCTAAACTATACAAATAAAACAAAGATACAACAAAATCAATTGATAAGAATTCCCTGTTACTTACAACATGAAGTCTTGTTCCCAGCAAGGGTCACTTCCTCGTCTGTCGATTGTAGTGCTTTTCAAATTTTGGACTTTTAAAACAACATAGGTTTTGGATGCATCTGAAAAAGAAATAACCAGCACATTAAACCTCACTTTAGTTCTTTCCAGAAACTAGAAACATACAACCCCAAGGCAGTAAGGGTTTTAATTTTTACTCCATACAAAACATTTAGAGGTGTGGTTCAAATATGTGGATTTGAGCATGAAAATTCTTATTAATTCTAATGGGATTATGCCAGAAAAGTCTCTGCCCCTGACAGGTGAGAGAGAACATCTCACTGTATGTATTTTAAAGATCAGCTTCCAGACAGGGCTTTTTACTGTTTATCAATCCCCCTGACAGCTCTTGCATGAAACCAGCATGCAACTCTTTTTCTGAAAATTAGGACTTTCTTTGCCTTTCCATTGCTATGATAATATTGATGATTGGCTGATGGATTTTTATGTCCAATTAAGGCAAGGCCACAGACTTGTAATATGTAATTCAGTCTTGGTGCATGAATCTAGTTCTGTTATAGTTGCAGCAGCAAAATGGGTTTCAGATGCAGCCCCAAATGAACTCATATATTTTTGTAAATGCCTTTGTAAAAGCACAGTATGAGTATTCATAAATTGGACCCAATCAGCAAAAAGAATAAAACTTTAAAAATTTCAAAGGGCTTGAAAATATCACTGCCAGAAAAAAGCAACAGAACTGAGGGACAGCTCTATCCTGTAGGGCCTCATACAGGAATCTAAGGTGGTAAAAGGTGTATTATATCATCTCAATGAATGTGGCTTTTTAGCTTGCATGCAGGTAACACATCCTTCACTACCCTCCAGCATCCTAGATAAGGATCAACATTGACATAGGACTGAAAAAAACCTTTTTTTTTTTTAATAGAACTACTGCCAAAATATATATACAAGAGGTAGCTCGGAACAGAATTTTTGAGCTGTGTGTTTTACCACAGGTCAATCAAACAGTCTGAGTAACAGGGAAGGTGTCAATGTCTACAACAGATTACTGAATAGGTTGTATCAAATTACACTGCAGTTAACAAAAAGTGTGAAGGAGAAGAGTTAGCTGTGTACATCCTGTATGTAGATCTTATTGATTAGAACTGATTATAATGTTTGACCAAAGAACAAAAGATATCATGTAACAGGAACTATTCTGTTCAATAAACACATTCAGCAGTGGCCAATGTTATCTATTTATTTTCCATAATTCAGTGCACCAGTCCTCTCAAACAGGACTTTGTTTTTTAGCTGCAACTCAAGGTTTGAGAAATTTTCAAAAGAATTCTAAATTACTTGGCTGAAAAATAGCAACCCACAGTCTTTAACTTCAGCCATTTAGAGCACCCATGTAAATTAAAACTACAATAACCAACCTCCCTCATAATTAAAACGTATGTCCCTAAAATGAAGCTATAAATGACAAGATAGAAACTTAAAGACACATTTTAGTGGTAGTCTGTTTCATTATACTATTATCTTTATATTCAACTATAACTTCACGGACCAGACGAGGTGACCAAACTTAATCACCTTGTATCTTTCCCCACCTCCTTTTCTATCACAAAAAATAAAAATAGTTTGGACTGTTTGCATTATTGTCTTGCCTGAAACCCTGCCATTTGTTTTTTAAAAGAGCTCTTTTTCCAGTAGTTCCTTGTCTTCTTTGGCTCTTCTCTGGATCTAAATATTACCCTTCAGTGCTTTAGGACTAATTCACCTTCTTTAGATGTCATGAGTTGTGTCAAGTAAGAAAAAGATACTCTACCTCGTAAATAACTGTGAGTATATAACCTCCTTGAGGAATAACACTGCCCAGGGTGAATATTATTAAAATACCCTGGCAGCAGAAAGGAGCTGCCAATTTTGCAGTTTTGTTTCCATGAAGCCATTATTGTGGCTCCCAAACCTTTCAGCTGTCAAAAAACAGAGGCGTGTAGTGCAATTTTTTGTCAAACAGCAGGTTATCCACTTGCTCAAACCTTCAGCTTTCGACTCAGAGCACAGCACAGCAGCTTCATAGCAGTTTACACAAAGGAGTAAATAAACTACAGGATAATCACAGAATTTTGAGAAACATGAGGGTATTTCAAGGCTGCTCTTGGTCACCACCTGCATAATGGTTCTGCCCAAGAAAACATTATCAGAGAATACACCATTCAAATTTTATTGCCATTATTTATGATGTTAACAAGTCTTCAACAGCACTCAAAAGAAACTTGAAACTACATCTCTCTTATCAAATTATTCTGTTTGATAGTCATATTCTGTACATTATCACCTCTTTTGAGCATCAACAAAATATGAGATTTGCTGAACCCTGCAGAACATTTTTCTGACTGCATTAGGGTTTCAATGAGAAAGAGAAGATTCTTCAGTCCATACTTTGTACAAAGATTTCACAGCCTGCTTTTAGAAGTGTCAAGAACAAACAGCTTGATCTGTGCCCATTCAGGTTACCTTTCTTTAATTCAAATAACTTTAAACAACTTGTATTTGCTTAAATGTATTAACCAGCAAATTTTGCTGCACTGATTTGGTTGTATATCAGCTTCTCCTGAGAACTAGTAATTACAAAGGTCTTGAAGGCCTTAAATTTATAGTCCACCTCTGTGTGAGAAACCTCTGGCTGAGTTCAGACTTTCTTTTCCATCCTGGCTAAATCTTGGTCCTGGAAACAGCCTTAGAGAGTTCTGGGCAGCTTGGTTTTGCTCATATTTATTGGCTGGGGCACACACCTGATCTCTATAACTGTCCATCAGTATCTCCAACCTGTATTTCCTCTCCGGGAAAATTCAGACACAATCTCCAATTGTCTGAGGCCACGACCTTGTAAAGATAATTTGATCTCTAAAACACATGTATAATCTTTAATTCTTTCCACATTTATTCATTTTTATTGAACTGTTGATCAAATATATTAAAGTAGTCCCAAGCTTAGGTGATTCTTTAGTGTGACACAGACAAGCATGCCTAAGAAAGAAAAATGTAAAGCAGAAATTGAAAGGGAAATTAAACTTACCAGTCATTTTATCCAGCCTTCCTTTTTTCACTGTATTAAAAAAGAAAATATATATTATTTTCAGATAATACCTTAACAATGCTTGCCAATGGATTTTATGGAAAATAAAATCTAAAGGACTTACATGGTATAAAAAACCTCAATCAAAAATGAAAACAAGTAATCTTCAAAAAATATAAACATCATTGTGGGACAGTAATATGATTTCTCAGAATTCTTTGGGAAAGAGAACACGTGAAAACTCTTTGCACCTTACAAGAACTTAATAAATACATGGATACAACACAGAGGGCAGAATGAAGAGCAGGTGTCCAGGAAGGGTAGTGTGCTATTCATCACCTCTTAATGCTGGTTCAAAATTCTTCCCAATAGATACAGATGACTCACAGACTGTATATAACCTAAAGTAGCTTCTATCATCTTACAGAGAATCCTTTATTACATTGTATTTACTCTGGCTGTTAGAAAGGATGCACTTCAGTAAATATCTTACCAAATAAAAAGTGAACATTTCAAATCCTGATTTTGCTCAGCAACCTTATGTTTCACACTATGGTATCTCTTCCATTAATGAAAAATGCCCTGAAATTAATAGGATTGGGATTCATATAATCATAATTATGAAGATCTAACCCGGTCATAAATTTTTATTTCACTCCTAAAGTTCATTAAATTTAGACTTTTAAACAATATAACTAAATATTCTTTAAATTTTCCTGCCATATCAATGCATGTAAGACAGTTTGGTTTGAGTGAAACATCACTGCAGTCCTACAATAATTGAACAAACTCCATCAATAAACTAATGTATACATGATATATTTCACTGCTACACTTAGGACAGTAGTAATTGCCAATAAAAGAAGAAGTCCACAACTTTACAATGCAAAGGTTCCCAAAAGCTTGCCACTGTATTCCAATATCCTTTCCACTTGCTTAACCTCACCTACCTTCCTATTACTTATTTTTGCTTTCATCTCTCCCTAAACTCCCCTGAGAATGCCATGGAATTGCCCCACATTTGCAGACTGTTCGTCTGGCAGCCTGAACGATTCCACCACTGTCACACTGAGAAAGCTTTCACTTTCCACACAAATGGTGAGGGGCCAAAATGTTGCTGAGCTACCAGCAGAGTCTAAACACTGCAGCAGCTCAACTGCACTGCAAGGGTGCAGAATTTACACACTGCATTTACTTGACTACCCTGAAAGGAAGTACTGCAAGAAATATTCTTATCAGCTTAAACAATGCACATCTCCAGTCTGTGAGGTTACTATTTATAGCCACATACTAAATATTTGTCACATGGGTGAAGGAGCTTCTACGAGAAGAAAAACCTACCTTTCACAGAGAGAAGTTCCATTTCAGTAGAAAAATATCTTAAAGAACACGCATTGAAATTCAGCTTTTTCTTCACAAGAGGAAAAGAAATAGTTTGGCTTGCATTAAATTACTCTTCTGCTGCTGTTCCCTCACTGCAAGTGTGTTTCACTTTTGCTGCTCGCTCCTCCCATGTTCCTCATGGAGCAAAGCCAATCAATTGATGGAGCAGTAAAATACTGACGACAAATTCCTTCTCCCTCTCTACACACAGAGAGGGAAGAGGAAAAGAGAAATATTATAACTGTTCGCTTACCCTCATTTCCTCACCCTCATTTCCTCAACTTCTATCTGCTCTATGCAGCTGTCTCCAGTCTAAACAAATTTCTGAATGCCATCTTTTCCAGAAATAAGAAACTCAGTGCAACTATTTTATTAAGGACATACTTTTGGAGATTTGACATTTTGATTTTAATACTTGCAAAGCATCTGAATTGGAATACAGAAAGTTCACGGGTTTTTTATCTTTTAAAACAGTCACGTAGTCAGAACACATATTTTACAGTATTTGCTATAGCTAGGCATAAGTAGCCTTAATTTTCTAAAATAGTGTGAATAAATATTGCACAAAAAGTTGGATTTTATTATACTTCATGAATTTCTAATTCTATTGCAGCAGTTCATAGGATTGTAAATGTTGTCATAAAATGTTAAAATATTTTACAACAATACTCAAAACACTGAAATTATCATAAAAATAGTGGTGTTTACGACTAGTTGTTCAGATTAATACTGGGGGGTTTTGTTTGTTTGTTTTTAATTGTGGTTAACAGTATATATATTTCCACAGATATATAGTATTTTTATATAATTTTCTCCATTATATTATAATTGAATACTTAGGTCTTAAATCCAAGTAAGGAAGTGTCCTTGGAGTAGAGGGGGGTGCATATATCTGAGTTAAGGAGTGGCTGTCTGAAGCCCCAAGAAACTGGGTGTGGAGGAAGGCACACCTCAAAAGACAAATGAGAGCTGAGACTGGTTGGCCTGGCCAGGAGAAACCTTTGGTAGGTAGGATGGGTTTAATCAATGTTTATAAAAAACCTGATGGGAGGCTGTAAACAAGACTGACTCTTGTGATTGTTGCCTATTAACAGGTGAACAGGCAATGGGCACAAATTGAAACTCACAGTTTCACCGGAACATAAGAAAAGTCTCTTTTTCCTGTGAGGGTATTTTAACACTAAAATAGGTTGTCCAGAGAGGATGTGGACTCTTTTTGTCCTTGGAGATACCCACAACCTGACTGAACAAAACCCTGGGCAACCTGCTCTTGCTGACCCTGTTTTGAGCAGGGATGTTGGACTAGATGGTATTGAGAGTTTCCTTGTGATTCTGTGATAGTTCATAAGGTTAAACTGTTAAGTGTGACTGAAGAAAATGTAGTTCAGGATATCATGAAAATCTACAGTCACTATGCATAATATGTGTAGAGTTTTTTCCCCTCCATAGAAGTGTCATAAGAAGTACTTATGTTGTTTCAGGATCATGCTACTATGCCATAATCTGAAGTTGTCAGCATATTACATTTTGGTCTTGTGTTTTAGATGAATATATTTGCATCTCTCTCTTCTGAATTCTGTTCTGATCAAGTCTCCCACAGCAGTGTGATACTCTTAGAGACAGGTTTCCACCTTATGCAAGCAATGGAGTTCCACTGTAGTTAACAAAGCTAGTCTGGTACACACTGGCTGAGAAATTATCCCAAACTGTGTATTTGGATCACATGAAAAAAAATATTTACTTGGAACAAAAATCTAATCGCTGCTGACTTAAGATTCAGTAAATAGAGTTCCCAGTAAGCCTTAGCATGAATCCAAGTTACACAGCTGCATCTGAAACTGTCTCTGAAACTGTACAAACTTGACTCTTCTTCCTTTCTTCCACTCCCTTCCTCAAATATCAGGGCCCTTCCTGTGGAATTTTCTCCTTGAATTCTTGGGTTGCAGCTGCAGCAGCAGCAGCAGCCATTGTGGCTCATTTACTTTCCTGTGATGCCATGGCTGTTTTTTACATAAGCTACTGGGAAAGATGTTATGACTTTATGGTAAGAAATATGCAGAAAATACCTGAACATAGGCAGAAGGTCACCGTGGACTCAGAACAGTGCATGTACAAATGCTCTTTCATTTGGAAAAAGCATTTATTATATTTAACAAAGGAATAGTGAAAAGCACTGAGCTGGAACAAGCTGTCAAGATGGTGTTTGGCTAAAGGGCATAAGAGTAGAGGCCGCAGTACAACATGCACGTTTCACCAACTGATGGTTTCAGTACCTCAGTTAATTACCCTGTTACTCAGCCATGCCTTCCTCAGTGTTTTCCCTTTTCCATATTACAATTCCCTATTAATGCCTGATATAACACTTCAGCCCTACATGTTGACTTCAGTTAAAAGGTCTCAGCTTTCCAGATCTATATACAGAATCAAGAATTTAGAAAGAAATTAAAAAAAAAAAAAAGGAGCAAAATTGTTTACATTGCATTTTTTACCTAAACTATTTCAAGACTGCCTATAGTGACTTCACTCTATTCAATATGTTATAACAATGTGTATAACAATGCTGTTATGTATAGATGTGTCACCTGAGACCTGACACTGTTGAGTGATCAGCTTCCAAAAGAGCTATCTAATTATTTTCCAAGCCAAATTCTCAATTGATATGAGGACGATATGATTCTTTTCATTTGTGAGCATACTTTTTTTTATTGAGGATCTGCCTTTTTTTTTATTTAACTTCTTTTTTTAATATGAATTCACATAGCATACATTAGCAGATTAAAGCCTGCCACCATCTTCCAGTTAATTCATCAAAAGCAAGGAGATTTCACTCTGATGAAAGTAGGTACCTACTTGGCAGCAAAACTACATATTGTTCTTTTCAGGAAGTTTCTTGTCTGCAGGATACTCGTAATGCAATAACTAAGGTCATGTACTCATAGATTTTAATATAACATGTTGCAAAAGGAAAACAAGGAACAGAGAACATTGGAATACTGATTGCAAAAGAACGTGGAAGACAACTTCTAACTTTCACAGGGAAAGGAGACACAGCCTACTGCTGTTTTAATATATATCAGTTATGAAAGAGAACATTAAAAAATAAACTTGGTGGGAAAAAAAATCCAAATTTCAATTGATATTAAAAATAGGAGCAGTTTCCTTGCATACCCTACTTTTCTGTCTGAGACCATCACGAAGCCATCTTTCCTTGGTTATTTTTATGCTGACCCATGTGTATTTTTAAAGAGGTTTTGGCCTTGGAACACCAACATTTTAGCTATTTTCCTTCTGAAGTTCTTCTCTTGAGGAGAAAGAGAACTTGCTCCTTTGCAAATTGTTATAGACAGTGAAATTTTCAGCTGAACATTCATCAGCATCTCCTCAGCACTAGCACATGAAGATATATGCCAATCACCTCATAAGACTAAGTGATAAAGTGTATTTTTGCGTTCCCCTTGAAGTCAGTCATTAGTTTAAAATTAGAGCTAGTGGGAGAAGATTTTTGTCTATTATAAGGAAAATATTATGCACAATTCAGGTAAAATTCAAAGATAAATAGTTATCATTATGGTGATCCTTATAACACACAAAGCTGAAACCCATGAACAGGAATTCAACCACGACAGCAAGAAAAAAAAAAATCACTTTTTCTAGACAGTTCATTTCTGCCTTTCAGAAATATAGACTCTGCATCCCCCAGTGTATTCTATAATTTTCAGTAGAGTTTGTAAGTGATAAAAGACAGAAATAATGAACTCTGTAACAAAATATGCTATCAAGAGATACATCATCAGAGAGACAGGATAAGCAGAAAATCAATCAGTTGATTTCTGACCCTGAGAAACTATGAGCAATATTGCAGGAACTACAAATTAGATCAGTTTTGTCCTTGTCTCCAAAAGATTGGAGCAACTATGGTTAGGGATAATAGGGGATGTGTTCTGGGCTTCACAGGAATCACCTTGATAAATGAGTTTGAAGCACTCCATTTACCCTTTTCCAACAGGACACAAACCAAGGGCCCTCCTTCAAAATGTTCTGTGTTATTAACCACCAAGTATATAGATATAAATTTCATTGAAATATCTACTTGTTATTAATCTCCAAAACTGCAGTGAAGTCACAGCAATAAAATAATCCTGAAGTTTTAACACAAACAAAAATACAATAACTTGTCATAGATTCATATTCCACCTGTCATATTTGTGATAGTCACAGGAGATAGTAGGCTATTGGACTAAAAATAGACTTATCCCACAGGTTTGTTCTTATTATATTATGGTATTTAAACTACAAAAAAGTGCCCCAAATTTTAAAATTT